AAAACTCTGGAAATGCGTCTTCACTTCGACTCAGACGTTTAAAACAATCACTGCATTCTCAGTTCCGAAACTCGTTGTCGGTCAATCTTGCCATTGGCGTCGCTTTCCCTATTTCGCTGAAGTAGTCTGTCGTTCGTCGCCAATTCTTAGCTCTCATGTCGCCGTTTCAAGGCCATGTCGCTTGTCGGAATTTGCCCCTAACAGGGTCTCGGTTACGCTTCTTCGCACTGGAAAATCCTCTTTAGTACTCCTCTCTTACAAGAGTCTTCTGTTTCAGAATGCTACTTACTTGTGTTTTTCCACAACCGAATTTCTCGGCAAATTTGCGTACTCCTGTCAATCCTTTGCTATTCTCGTATTCTTCTACGATTTGAAAACGTTTTTCTAAAGGTAATTCGTTCCTTGCTTTCCGCTTTGTTTTATCATTTGGCATGATTCAATGCTGTCTCCAATAGAACACAGCCTGGTCAACACACGCTTCCTTCAAAAGACCACGTGTAAACTTAACATGTACCGATGTATCAGCTGCAATTACACAAAAGATTTTACATACGGTATGCATTTTAGTCACATGTTTTAAATGTTTCACACGCACGACCGTTCTGTGTGGTCACGCTAGAGATAAAAGATCGCTGTGGTTCTGTCAAAATTTACTGTACCGGTTATGGCCAGTCCTCAAAATGGAAGAGTTGAAAGCAGAGTACTACTCGTGGATGCAAGGCCACCATGCTTAAAGGGACATTTTCAAGCCTGTTATTGGTACCACGCCCCCGGGGGGAGGGTGGAATTGTACTCCCAGAAAAGTTGGGTGGGAGTGTGCGGCCCACTTCCCAAAACCCTTACCCTATTTATGACCAAAATTTGCAATTTTTGCTACCCTATTTACGACCTGGCCAAAAATTCGATACCCTATTTATGACCAAAACGGCTCAGAAACCCTACCCTTTGGGGCCGCACATACCTATATAGCCCATACAAGGGAATACTCGCCCCCCCGGTAACACGCTCACTTTACAGCGGGAACCGGAAAATGCAAAAGATCCGCATGCTGTTGCTATTGTAGAAGATACTGAACGAATTGTTGCCCATATCCCATTAGGTTTATCGAGAATTGTGTCGTCGTTTTTAAAAAGGGCTAACCACGAGGCAACAGCAGAAATCTGTGGAAAACGGATCAATCGAGCTGGCTTGTGACTGGCAATTCCAGTTATTTATAAGATTTACGGCGGAAGGAAATATTTGGACAGACTGGACGAACTTATTCATGGCAGCGAGACTGCAAAGAGGGCCTTTAGAGAAAAAGATGAAGGAAGTTTGATTGATGGACAGAAGGAGCGGAAATAAACCAAGAAAGACAAAGACAATCTCAGAAAGCAGAAAAAATAGATTTGATATGTGTTCAAATACACGAAAATGAGGCCACGTGCTTTCTATTGTGCATTAACCAATGAAACATCGCCACATGTTCTTATTGTGCATTTTGCCGCACAGAAAAAGACTAAAATTTTACATGATTTATTAATCGTGCCTTATGACCCGAGTAATTACGAGACTTGAAATGTCTA